TACATCTTTCTATATTACCGACTGAGTATTAATTGCACAAAACTATTCTATATGTCGCTGTAGGTAAACATGCTGCCAAATTTCTGTGAGGCATCTGCAACTCTTAATTATCCTTCCTCCATGATGGTAACTGTGTAAACCCTACATCGGTCCAAATTCAAAGGACGTTCAAAAAATTGCAATGTTTAAATTTATTACGTTGCGATGTATGTACACAATATGCCTTAACACACGAAGACTTGGATATAAGCTCCATGTATTTTTATTATAAAGCATACAAAAAAAGCAAATGAAGATATTTTTGGCAATTTAAAAATGTCAAATAATAGTTTTGTATGTTTAATAACAAAAATTGAAATAATTTTTCATCACAATTTTGAATTATTTATCACTAAATCCGGCGTTTGTAATTGTTTTTTTAGATTTAATTAATTCCAAAATAACATTTGACGCTCCTTGTCCCCGATTTCCATAAATATATGTTATTAAGGGACCATTCCACCGTTGTATTAAACGGAGATTAAAATGACATTGTTAATGTAAAAATTTAATTTTAAACTTCGTTTAACACAACGGTGAAATCGGTCCTAAGTTATATTTAAGGCTGCTCATATATATTACTTAATATAAATTTTAAGACCATCAATAAAAACAAGCTAATTATTTGGCGCAATCTGTGAAGCTTTTTTGTTTTAATACAATCCTGCCTATCAATACCTTATTTTATTACAAAATCTTTAAATACGCTTTAATCCGACCCTGACTAAGACCCCCGAATGGCGTCGTCAAAGCCAAATTTTCTTAGTATAATATTTGTATGCGATCAGCGGAGAGTGGGCCTGCCGATTGTTTTTTATGCCGTGCTTTTATTTTCTTTACTAGACGATGCAAGAGAGAGGTCCGACACGCCCAACATAGGGCGGATAATACAATTTATGACAACCGCCTATAATAAAACAGCAGTCTTCTGCGTATCCTGAATTTGTATCCCTGGAGTGGATGTTATTTTGGAACTTTCAACTGGTCCAAGTGAGCTAACTGATTCTTTAGCAATAAACTGTGACTCCAAAAATAATATTTACTGACACTGACAGCAGCAAGCAAAATATCAGGTGCGTTTTAATCATTCGCTTCTGCTTCCGGAATTGTCGGTTTAGTCGTTTTAACCTGTCAGATTAAAACAAGAAAACCAACAATTCCGAAGCAGAAGCGGATTATTAAAACGCACCTATTAAAAATATTGCGCCAAGATATAGGCAACACGTAATAAGGGTTCGGCAGGCTAACTTATCTTGGCGGCAACGCTACGCGCACATCTACGCGCACACCGCCATTTTGGGGTCCAACCTCTCAATAAAGCCAGTGGCGTCACTGTCGTCGTTTATATCGACAAAAACAAACAAGTTGCAGCGGCTCGGAATCAGTAGCGTGTGTCTTAAATTTATTTTGTTTGTGATGTGTGTATTATGTAGTTATTGTTATTTTTTTAGAATTATAGATATTTTTTGACACTTTTTATATAGTAGTTGTTTTCCAGTGTTAATTTGTTAACTTTTACGTGTTTTACTGTCTGGGCAAAGTTGTGCAGCAAAAAACTATATGAATAAACTGTATTAAAAGATTTTTTCGGTTTCTTAAAGATCTTATTAGGTATGTATGGTATACTTTTAAAAAAATCCCAGTATATGAGTCAGTTTGTCAGTTTTAAAGCTATAAGTAAGATGTAGGTAGGTGCCTAGTTAACGTCACGTAAAGTTTTCCAGTGTTAATTTGCTAACTTTTACGTGTTTTACTAGGTCTGAGCAAAGTTGTGCAGCAAAAAACTGTATGAATAAACTGTATTAAAAGATTTTTTGGGTTTCTTAGGTTCGATTCCATCGTTGTGTTAAACGAAGTTTAAAATGACATTTTTACAATAAGGTCCATTTGCACCGGTAGTCGTTAAAAAATAAGGCAAGCTTAAACTGACATTTTTTCATTATCAATGTCACTTTAAGCTTCGCTTAGTTCTTAACGATTAACGGTGCAAATGGCCCTAACTACGTTATTTTAATCTCCGTTTAACACAACGGTGGAATCAGTCCTTAAAGATCCTATTAGGTAGGTATGTATGGTATACTTTAAAAAAAAATCCTAGGTTATGGGTCAGTTTGTGAGTTATAAACCTATTAGTAAGATGTAGGTAGGTGCCTGGTTAACGTCACGTAATGTTTAGTGTCAATTTATATTTACTTATGTAGGTATATTATTAAGATTTAAAGTAAAATGTTATATTTTAAACATCTGCCGTATGGAGTTGACAAAATAGGTTTACTATATTAATATGTTAGGTCAGGTGTACAGGGTCTTAATAAATGAAGAAACTTGAAATTGACAAAAGGAAAAAATCTGTATTACCTATTGATTTTAGGAAGAAAAGTCACAGTTTTTCTGTCGGTTTTTCTTCATAACTTTAAAATGAAACTTGTTTTTGTTATTTTTTTCAACAGGCAGAATTTTTTGTAAGGAATGACTTTTTTTTTCTGAAAAAAATAAATATTAATCGTAATTGTGTTATTCCCAATAATTGAAATGCTTGACAAAAATTTAATTTTAATATTCATTTTGATAATAATTATTCTAGATATGCGAATAACAAAGCTTTATAATCTTGATAAATCTAAGGTATTTTCATTACAAAAAGCAAGAAAATCTTAATTAGCCATTAAAGAAATTATAAGTAGTAAATTAAAAATTAGTAATGAGTCACATACAATCAAAATCATGTGTCTTAGGACCGATTCCACCGTTCTGTTAAACGAAGTTTAAAATGACATTTTTACATAAACAATGTCATTTTAATCTCCGTTTAACACAACGGTGGAATCGACCTTAAGCAATTATTTAACATAAAATTTTACAATTTTTGGCAATTTAAAAATGTCAGATAATAGTTTTGTATGTTTAATAACAAAAATTTAAATAATTTTTCAACAAAATTTTGAATTATTTATCACTAAATCCGGCGTTTGTAATTTTTTTTTACATTTAATTAATTCCGAGATAACATTTGACGCTCCTTGTCCTCGATTTCCAGAAATATATGTTATTAAGTTATATTTAAGGCTACTCATATATTACACTTTAAAAATATTAATAGAAATTTTAAGACCATCAATAAAAACAAGCTAATTATTTGGCGCAATATGTAGAGCATATTGTCTTTCTTAGTGCTGTTCTTATAAGTTAAATTAAAATATATTTCATGTAAATTTTTACTTTTTTGTTTTAATACGATCCTGCCTATTAATACCTTATTTTATTACAAAATCTTTAAATACGCTTTAATCCGACCCTGACTAAGACCCCCGAATGGCGTCGTCAAAGTCAAATTTTCTTAGCATAATATTTATATGCGATCAGCGGCGAGTGAGCCTGCCGATTGTTTCTTATGCCGTGTCAAAATGGCGGAGTTTTCTATTCAGAAAGCTGCGCATTGCGACCATTCTCCGTACAGTAAAAGAAAATCAAAGTATGTGCCCGGGTTGCTCATTAGAAATGTGTCGTCATATATTTGTAATCAAAATTCCTACACCTATTTTGTATTTATTAGCTGGAGTTAATTCATGATGGATTTTATTCCATTTGTAGTAATTACAAAGTATCTGTAAATGGAACCATCTTAATTTTGTATTTTATTTATAATATATTTTAAATTGATGTGTTATATAGTTTTTCCTGTAAAAAAATAATTTGCATCAGAATATGGTATACAGTATACAAATAGGAGGATTTAGCTAAATTATCTGCTATTACGTTACCTTATTTTCCCGAATGTACTTTAATCCAGACCAAAACTAATGTTTCATTTTGCTTTATTATTTTAACATTTTCTTTTAGATGCGAGATATGTGAGGATTTATTTATTTTTATTAGACAGTTAACGGGACTTTTACTATCTATGAAATGAAGACAATAAATTTATCAAATAGGTTATGCTCATTGCTTGTAGGATTGCATAGAAAGTGAAAATAGATACTTTCTTTGGAAAATTATATTAATGGTGATAGGTATTTTGTTGTAGAGACATAAAAAGCAAACCCTTCGTTGTTCTTTACTTTAGACTCTTTTGAAAAACGTAGTTTTATTCTGGCTACATTTTAATGAAATGTAAAATCGTCAATATGAAGTCGATTACAACAGCGATTAGAATAATACATTAATTGGACTGCCAAATTATAAGTGTGCAGAATTTTAGTCACCCCAGCTAGCACATAACTTTGCCAATCTTTTCGGCGATATTGTTTTAAGAAAACGTAATAACATTACTATACAACGTAGATGCAACGTTCATAATAAATTGTTGAGGGAAATCAAAACCTCGCAGAATGCCTATTTCTTACTTACATATTCAACCTACCTGTTATGATAACACAACGTAATAAAGTAATTTGCTAAAACAGTATCCACGAGAATTACTGTAAACTTCATATTGTTTTCGAACGTAAACATTCGTTTGTCATAAGTCATAACAAAACCATCAAATCTTAAAAAAGTATCACTTGTCACTTTTTCTTGTGGTATGTATTTGAGATTTTAAAGAATTTGTAAACTAATACGTTTAAATAAGTTTGGTAAGTTCTTTTCAATAGAATAGAAACATATTTTCTAATTTATTGTCTGTTGTTTTAGATTGCAATATTTCAGTTTCCAACTACAATAAAATATAAATCATTGTAATAGTCCAATTAAATAACGAAAAAACCCCCTTGGAGCTTACATTAATTTGTAATTGGATGAAACAAAGTGGACCTTGTGTATTTTGATGTGAACTTTCCGAAAAAAAAAAGAAAAAAATGATATAGCTGTTTTTCAATTTTTTTTAAATTAGGAAAAACCGGGTTTTCCGGAATTTTCCATGGTAAAAATGCTAATTATCTGGGTAAGTATCATTCTGATAGTAAAAATAAATGCACCAATCGAAAGAGGAGGCAAAAATAGTTCGGAATTTCATTGCACAGGTAGTTTTAATGGCGAATTTCTCGCCGCCAGAAGTGCTTTTACCAAAAAGTTGTTTTTTCGTTTCTTTGATCAGAATCATGAACAATGAAATTTGCGATGAATTTGTGGCGAAATTATAAATGTTAGACATATGTGCCCACGAGAGAAGTTGCGTATTTTTTTGTGGGCTCTCAAATAAAATAAGTCCCGCGGCGAAATCTGCCATAATTTTTCGGGAATTCGCAGGAACAGGGAAGGCGTAAAGTTTTTTTAATTTTTTTCCCATACGATTTTCTCCGGGTTTTCCGAAAACATCTAACAAAAAATGTATTTAAAGAAACTAACTGCGCCATCGGAAAGAGCACAAAAAAATATACAAAAAGGTATACTTTAAAAATGTTAGGAAATTAATCCTAAGCTTGAGTGTAAGTTCCAACTTGGTGATAAGCTTGTTTTTTGTTCTCTAACATCTGGTTTTTCTCTCGGTTGATGCTCCATCCTCCTTTTTTTTTGGCATTGTCAATCGCGGCCCATTTATGCCTATCCCAGGTTTTATAAATAAACTCTTTTCCGTAACGTCGAGCTACGTAATGTTTGCGACACCTCTCATGCAATATAAAACCTGGTTTTAAAGAAATCATCCCCTCTCTCTTTGTTGACCATCTACAGACCCTTCAATCCTATCGGTCTAATTGGGGTAAGTTCACCCTCTTCAAGTTTCTGATGACATAATAAACACAGGCCAGCCATTGCAACCTGGAAGCAAAAAAATTATAGCACTGTGATAGAATTTTTTTAATTTAAGAACGTACTTACTCAATAAATTGCTGAAGAAGTCCGAAAAACCACGTATACACAGAGCTTGCTGAACCCGATTATTAAAAATCTATGCCGATGAACACTGTCAAGCGATTGAATTTGTAATAATATGACCGTTTCAAGTTTAAACTTGTCGGATAGCGAACGCCGAGACCATGGCTGTCCTTGATACGACGTCCGGCTAATTTTGCGGTAATTCTATTTTTTGCACAAAACTCAAGAAACGTCTTATAACAAGTCAGTAAAATACAATTTAATAAATTTTAGGCCTAATAAATTTAGGTATGTAAGAAATTTAAAACTGGAAATCACAAAAAAAATCAAATTACAGAAATGCACGAGTTTTGGATCCAGCGGAGCGCGTGTAATGGGACTTTTGTCGGGAGAATTCTACAACTTAGAAGAAACATACACACTTTAAACTTTGTATACACATTCAGAAGACATAAGATTTGGGTTTGCTCAATTTTCAGACCAAAACACTGAAAATCGTCAATTATAGGCAACTTTTCTCAAAAACCGTGTTTTTTGGTCAAAAAAATAGATAAAATATTTTTGCAGAATTTTCCGTAATGTAATCGTATTCTAGACATAATAGAGTATTAAAAAAATATTTTTGAGTCATTGAGTACATTTTTGGCATTTTTGTGCCACTTCAAACTTTCGAAAAAAAGTTTTTTTTTTTAGGGAAAAAAATTTGTTAAATTTTTTGATATCTTGGCCAATTATAATCCGATTTCGGTAAAATTCAAACACGTATAAGATTTCATATTTAAGAGTAAGCTCTGTAAGTGGCATTAAAAAATTTAAATAGTTTGGCCGTTATAGGCAAACAATGAAATTAGGCTTGCGGTACACTTTGTCCTTCCGCCATATGCCCAATTTTGGGATTTCTCTTGCCCCCTTCTGGGAATCAATAGTCACATCCCTTAAGTTCAAAACGAATTTTTGTTTCTTTAAATATCTTAATTTTTACCAAAGTTATGAAGAATTTAGTGTTTGAATATTTAACAAATTCAATTTTTCGACCTTCGCCGCCTCAAAATACTAAACAAATTTCAATCGTCCATACCGCGAGAACGGTGCATCGGATCAACATTTCTCGGGAGACATAAAAATTAGCATTTCTTCTAAGCATTTAAATGTCGTAAACTGCGATTTAAAAATATTGATTTATTTGCGACATGCGCATGCGCAAAATTGAAAAATTGACATAATCCAAAATTTCGGCACTTTCGACAAACTGCTACATTTTGTTTTGCCTTTTTTCGAAAAGATCACCTTATAATACATAGAAAACATTTCGTTTCATCTAATTACAATTTAATGTAAGCTCAAAAGCGGTAATTTAATTCGATTATAAAGGAGAACATACAATTAAATGACCTATCTTAAGCTAGTAGGACCAACTGGGCAGAATCAATTAAAATCTATTACATTATTTAGTACCTGTTTTGTACTAATTTGTACCACCAATAAAAATTTTGTGCCATGTGCCCTTTTCAAAAAGAACGTGGCGCTGCTAGGTTAATATTAAGCTAGCAGGACCACATTAAAAAAAATAAAATAAAACAAAAGTAGAATTAAAAAGAACTAAATTTGTACCAATTTGTACCACCAATAAATTTTTCGTACCATGTACCGTTTACAAAAAAACACATGGTGCTTCCAGTTTAATATTAGGCTAGCAGGACCACATTGAAAAATACGAAGGTAGAATTAAAAAGAACTGATTTTGAACCAATATGTACCATTAAAAAACCTAATTTATTTAATCAAACTGCCTGAAACAACTTTCAAATTAATCCAAATCTGTTATAATTAAAAAAAAGTGACTTTTGCAGAAAAATAATCTATTGCTATTTTTGCATAAAACACAACATAATTTGTACCGTTAAAATATAAATTTTCAGAATATGCACCCCTGCCGTTCCTATAGAAACTATCCTTAATTCATATTCCTTTTAAACAGCAAAATCAATCGTTATTTCTGCAATAAAAGTACCATAATGTGTACCGTTAAAATGTAAATTGTTAGATTCTGTACCCCTGCCGTTCCTATAGAAACTAACCTAAACTCATATTAGGCCATTTTGCACGAGCAGAATCAATAGTTACTCCTGCAATAAAAGTAACATAATTTGTACCACTAAAATATAAAATTTCAGATTTTGTACCCCTGCCGTTCCTATAGAAACTAACCTAAATTCATATTAGGCTTAAGAATAAAGTACCCTTTTGAAGAAGTAGAATCAATAGTGACTCCTGCAATGAAAGTTACATAATTGAGCCTAATATGAGTTTAGGTTAGTTTGTATAGGAACGGCAGGGGTACAAAATCTGAAATTTTGTATTTTAGTGGTACAAATTATGTTACTTTCATTGCAGGAGTTACTATTGATTCTGCTTGTGCAAAACGGTACTTTATTCTTGAGCCTAATATGAGTTTATTTTAGATTGTATAGGAACGGCAGGGGTACAAAATCTGAAATTGTATATTTTAGTGGTACAAATTATGTCACCTTCATTGCAGGAGTAACTATTGATTCTGCTAGTGCAGAAGGGTACTTTACTTGAGCCTAATATGAGTTTAGGTTAGTTTCTATGGGAACGGCAGGAGTACAAAATCTGAAATTTTATATTTTAGTGGTAAAAATTATGTTACTTTCATTGCAGGACGTCGGTATACAAGCAAAACACACTAAGTCAATTTTTTTTTAAATTGGCTTATTTACACCAGCAGCTTGAATTTTAACACCCTGCCTTCTGGCAAAATCCACCAAGTCATTCTTTTTTATTATACATGTAAAACACATTAACTCAATCCCTACATGAAAAACACATTAAGTCAGTACAATTGAAGAAAAACATCGTTAAATGAACAAAAATATAAATTCAAAATAAAATATTTAATGTGACATTTCATTCAATATATGTGCAAAATTACTCTACCAATATAAAATGTAAAAAAAAGTTGTACGCAATAAAACTGCAAAACCAAATACAAATGTAAAAACTTAAAATCGCAATATCTAAAAACTATGTTTTTTGACTTAATGGATTTTGCTTGTATACCGACGAGGAGTAACTATTGATTCTGCTCGTTTAAAAGGGTAATTTACTCTTGAGCCTAATATGAGTTTAGGTTGGTTTCTATGGGAACGGCAGGAGTACAAAATCTGAAATTTTATATTTTAATGGTACAAATTATGTTACATTCATTGCAGGAATAACTGTTGATTCTGCTCGTTCAAAAGGGTATTTTACTCTTGAGCCTAATATGAGTTTAGGTTAGTTTCTATAGGAACGGCAGGGGTATAAAATCTGAAAATTTATATTTTAGCGGTACAAATTATGTTACTTTCATTGCAGGAGTAACTGTTGATTCTGCTCAAGCAAAAGAGTACTTTACTATTGAGCCTAATATGAGTTTAGGTTAGTTTCTATGGGAACGGCAGGGGTACAAAATCTGAAATTTTATATTTTAGTGGTACAAATTATGTTACTTTTATTGCAGAAGTAACTACTGATTCTGCCCGTGCAAAATGGTTCTTTTCTCTTGAGTCTAATATGAGCTATAGGAACGGCAGGGGTACAAAATCTGAAATTTTATATTTTAGTGGTACAAATTATGTTACTTTTATTGCAGGAATAACTATTGATTCTGCTCGTGCAAAATGGTACTTTATTCTTGAGCCTAATATGAGTTTAGGTTAGTTTCTATAGGAACGGCAGGGGTACAGAATCTAACAATTTACATTTTAACGGTACACATTATGGTACTTTTATTGCAGAAATAACGATTGATTTTGCTGTTTAAAAGGAATATGAATTGAGGATAGTTTCTATAGGAACGGCAGGGGTGCATTATGTTGTGTTTTATGCAAAAATAGCAATAGATTATTTTTCTGCAAAAGTCACTTTTTTTTAATTATAACAGATTTGGATTAATTTGAAAGTTGTTTCAGGCAGTTTGATTAAATAAATTAGGTTTTTTTAATGGTACATATTGGTATAAAATCAGTCCTTTTTAATTCCACCTTCGTATTTTTCAATGTGGTCCTGCTAGCCTAATATTAAACCAGAAGAACCATGTGTTTTTTTGTAAACGGTACATAGTACGAAACATTTATTGGTGGTACAAATTGGTACAAATTTAGTTCTTTTTATTTCTACCTTTGTTTTATTTTTTATTTTTTTAATG